GAGACCTGGAAGAGCTCCTGGCTTCAGATGGGCTCAGCTCTGCCCGTTATTGTTACTTGGGGAGTGAATCAATGGATGGGAGAGCTTTCTGTCTCTCCTCCTCTCTGTAAACGTGACTTTCCAATAAAAATAAATCTTTTAAAAGTTTAAGTAATAAATACATAAAACTAAAAATAACAAGTGAAGAAACTATGGCATTCTAACACTCAAAATACTACGCAGTTATGTAGTGAGACTATACAAAATATATAGGTACAAATTACAAGACTCAAGTGAAGACTTACATGGCTAATCCTCAAAAAATATGATCCAAATGTCTATTACCAGATATACACCAAGGGAAACACGATCTACCAGACATTAGCACTCCCACATTTACTGCCACATAATTCACAACAGCCAAGAAAGGGACCAGCCTAAGAATCCACTAACTGTGCACGAATAAAGAAAATGTGGTGCGTATACATAACAAATACTATCCAGCCACAAAGAAGCAGAAATATCATTTGCAGGGATGGCTTAAATGAGGCAAGTCAGCCACAGGAAGACAAGTACCAACCGACCCCAACTCTGTGGAATCTAACCCTATTCCATACAAGTTCAGGGTATAATGGTGGTCATCAAAAGCTAGGAAAACGGGAGGGACAGGGAGAGGCAAGGTACAACAAGTACTAAGTTACAGTTAGATATAACAGGTTCTGACATTCTGATGCCCACTACAGCACCACAATGACAATGTGCTATACATATTTTAGCAATGAGAATAGAAGGATTTTGGGCCCGAGCTGTAGCATAGTGGGTTAAGCCACTTATCCCATATGGGCACCGGTTTAAGTACTGGCTGCTCCACTTCCAATCCAGCTCCCAGCTAATACGCTTGGCAAAACTACAGAGGTTGCCTCAAGTGCTTGGGACCCACGTGGGAGACCCGTCAGCTCCCGGCTCCTGACAATTTGGGACAATTTGGGAAAAACCAGCAGATGAAAGCTCACTTACTAACTTGATCTTTATCCCAACCTTGCGTTCTCTCCCTCTGTAACTCTGCCTTTCAATTAAATAAATCTCCTAAGAAAGAAAGATTTTTGAATGCTTTTACAACACAAAATAACAAATGTCTGAGTGAAAAAGAAATTCACCAATAAGGATAGTACACACTGCACACATCTACTGAAAAAAATTACATGGCACTGGGTCTGGCACAGTAGCCTCGCCTTGCATGCACCAGAATCCCAGCGTGCCAGTTCATGTACCTGCTGTTCTATTCCCATCCAGCTGTCTGCTTGTGGCCTGGGAAAGCAGTCAAGGAAGCCTGGGGATCGTGCACCCACATGGGAGACCTGCAAGAAGCTGCTGGCTCCTGGCTTCGGATGGGCTCAGCTCCAGCCAATGTGAACACTTTGTGAGTGAATCAGAAAACAGAAGATCTTTCTCTGTAAATTTGCTTCCAATACAAATAAATAGATTTTTTTTAAAAAAAAAGCTCATCCTCAGTAAGTTTTCCTGACCCAATCACCTCTTCCCTTTAAATCTGTACTTATTTGGAAGGCAGAGAGACACAGAAACACACCAAGACATGGAGAGAAGACATCTTCCATCTGTCGGTGCACTCCTCAGATGACCAACAGCCAGAGTAGGCTGCCAAGAGCCCAGAACTCGAGCTGGGTATCCCACGGAGGCGGCAGGGCTTCCGGGCCTGGGTCATCACCTGCTGCTTCTAGGGCGTCCACCATCACAGCTAGGACTCGCACCCAGACACTCTGTGCTGTCAGCTCGATTTCTTCCCTCTAAATAGATAATACTTCCAGTATGTAATTAGTTGCATGATGCATTAAAAATGCTCCAAAATGTAAACTCGGGCATTAGATATTCTCAAGTAATTTTGCCTTATCCTTCCTCCTAGGTCACAGCCTTACTCCTGGAAATTACTTAGTCCTTTTTCTTTTTTTTTTTTTTTTAGTGTTCATGATAATGCATGTAACACAGATGTATGATAAACATGAATGATCTGATACACACACATAAAAAAATATTGAAAGGCAGTATGTCATATCCCAATCATCCAGTTCCAACTAACAGTTACCAGAAGAAAGTGTGGCAAACATTGTGGCCTGCAGTTTGGCATCTCAAGCAGGTACAGCCTCAATCTCAGCTGTTCTACTTCTGATCCAGTTCCGTCAGTGACCTGGGAAAGGACCTTTGCATTCATGTGGGAGACCTGGAGGAAGTTCTTGGCTTCAGATAGACTCACTCAGTTCCAACCATTGTGGCCATTTGGAGAGCGAACCAGTGGATGGAGGATCTCTGTCTCTCTCTCTCTGTAACTCTGCTTTTCAAATAAACAATAAATTTTAAAAAATGTTGAGGGCCCAGTGCAGAAGTCTAGCAGTTAAAGTCCTCCCCTTCCATGCACCAGCATCCCATATGGGCACCAGTATCCCATATGGGCACCAGTTCCAATCCCAGAGGCCCCACTTCCCTTCCAGCTCCCTGCTTGTGGCCTGGGAAGCACCTGAAGATGGCTCAAAGCCTAGGCACCCTGCACCCACGTGGGAGACCCAGAAGTTCCTGGCTCCTGGCTTTGGATCCACTCAGCTCCAGCTGTTGCAGCCACTTGGGGAGTGGATCAGCAGATAGAAGATCTTTCTTATCTCCTTCTCTCTATAATCTGACTTTTCCATAACTACCTTCCTTACTAAAACTGTATATGACGGATCTGGAAACATTACACTGCTTTCAAATGCTTTACACTTTATGCAATTCTTTATACTCTGTGACTAGTAACATAAGTTAACGACAATCAAGAGGCATGTGTCATATGGAGGTTTAATGTTTACCAACCACTAAAACTGGTTCTGTACATTCCACCTATACGCTAATCAATTCATATAAACTTGGTTGGGAAAACTGGCTAAAAATAAGTGTTGCTCAATCAATGGATGAAATACAAGCCTATCCGAGTATGGGCAGAAGGGTCATTCTCACCCTCTTGTATCTCTTTCACATAGGGAAAGTTTCTTAGATAAAATGTAACTTTTACTTGTATGTGGAGTGCAGAGTTGCAGTACACAAGAAACTCCATAGCAACTGGCCTTCTTACTGTGCCAACTCCTGGAGAAATGACTGACAATTCTGACAGAGGAATAATCTAAAGAAACAAAAATGACTTATCTTTGGAGCAGTATGTCATAATTTACCACCATTAAAATAATCTGAAAGACTTCTCTACAAAGTAAAAATCCGGGGAAGCACATTCAGGAAGGATGTCTATGTTCAACAGATACTGTGGCCAAAACCTCCCCAGGTTTTTGGTGGGGTCCTGCAGCTCAAAGCAGACAATCCCAGTTACCACTAAGGAAAGCAGCCTTCAACCTTATTACATTAAAAAAAAAAAAAAGCTCAAATTCCACAGACAAAAAAAAAATGGTACCCGGGGTTGTTTGTTTTCAAGGAAGGTTAAATTTAGGAGTTGCCAACACCCAAACAAAAAACATTCCAGAGTATTAGACTCAATTGTAATGGGGAGCCATGTACGTTCTCGGCACTAGGCTCCCTCACTCAGGGAACACTCACAGAGGATGTTTCTTAGGATCTCAGGAGATACACCCCACTCATTTCCCCTAAAAATGTAAGCAGGAGCAGCCAGACAGAGTGAAGTTTAACATCTGCCAAGATATTTCCCAAAATTAGACCCCATGTCAGGAACAATGAAGAAAAGATTGAAAATGACAAATTCCTTTATTTAGACCATGAGCTATTTTAAAAATAAATTTCAGGAATGCAGCTTTTCCAAAGCCTTGTCTTCAAATTCCCCTTAATCTTCAACATTCAACAACATCCACACACACACACACACACACACACACACACTACCACCAGCACCCTGGAAATCTGATTACCACTTCCATGAATTCCTTTTAAAGCAATTTAATGAATAACATATTTTGCACATGTAGCAAACCACAAAGGACAGTTCCGCTGGCTGATAAAAAAAAAAATCTTTAAAAAATTTTCATACCAAACTATACGCTAAGACGACAGTTCATGTTTTCCAGCCTGGGAAATCATGTCAATACTCAGGTTAATGTGTACATTTCATCTGCACCTTACTGACACTGTAAACCCTCAAGAGACAATGAGAAAAAGATGTTGCTTATTTTGGGTCAAACCAGGTAGCTGAACCACATCCCCAAACTGGTGAGCTGTTATTAAGGTGATCAAAATCTGTTTGCAATTGTTTAGTTTTGTTTCCCGCAGTGTAAGGTGCCACTAAGCGTGTGTGTGTGTGTGTGTGTGTGTGTGTGTAGTTTCTTTTTAATCAGTTTAATGAAAAAAAATGCTGCTACCTGCAAAAATGTCTGGAGACTGCTTAAAGCTACCAAACCCCAAACACACGGCAGCCACAACAACAAAAGTCTACCACAAATATTTTCCAGAAACTTCTACACAAGAGATGTTCTGGGCAAGCAGAATGGTGGGTTGCCACGGAATCTCTATGGTTCTGAAACACCGCGGACTTAAAAAAAAAAGTATGTGGGTGGGGGCGGCACTGTCCCCCCCGAAAGCTCTTTTGTAGCAGAAGCAGGGGGTATGCCCAGTCAGACACACTTGTTTCCCGTTCAGGGCACCGCACACCACACGCCTCTCCCGGACAGTGCCAGGGCCACACTTCCTGTACAGGTGCTTGTAAACACTGTTTAGACAGAAACAGAGATAGACAATCTGATAACTGGAGACGGAGACTCGCACGTGGGAAACAAGGCTGTGTCGTCATCATCCCTGATCATTTTCTCCAGCCCGGCGAGGTCCCGCAACCTCCCCGGCCGCCGAGAAGGGGTCCCGCAAAGCACGTGGCTTTGAGAACTCCCCGGGGAGGCGTTTGCTCGCCGTAAAACTCCACCACCCTCGGGCGGCCTGACTCGGACAGAGCCTTAAGAGTTGCAAGGGGGGCACACTCGACCCGGGGCCGCCCCCCGGAGCCCGCAGCCCGCAGCCCGCCTCACCTCCGCCGCGGGGATGTTGACCACGCCGGTGGAGCGCCGCTTCTCCCGCAGCTTTCTCTTCTCGATCTGCCCTTTGCCTTTGCGGGCACTGGGGCCCGAACTCTTGCCCTTCTCGAGGGCACCGTCGGGCTCCTCCTCGCCCGAGGCGCCGGCGGCAGAGGCGGGCACGGCCGAGGGGCCGGGGGGCTCGTCCTCGGGGCGCCGCGAGCCGGGGGTCGCCCTGATGGCCGGGCCCGAGGGGCCGGGGGCGGCAGGTGCGGCCGAGCCGCCCGGGACCAGGACGACGTTGTTGTTGTTGTTGAGCTCGCCGGTCGCCGCGGCCACCACCGAGGTGGCCAGGGTCCCCGTCGGGGGCTTCCCGGCCGCGTCGCCGCTGCCCCCGCCCGGCACCAGCGGGCCCGGGGGATTCTGCTTGGCGCGCATCTTCTCGCGCTTGGCCTTCCACTCCTCCAGGAAGTCTGTGGTGCTGCCTCCGCCGAGGCCGCCGCCGGTCCGGTAGCCACCGGTCGCCATATTCCCAGTGGGGCCGGCCGGGCTCTCACCTCAAGCCGTCCACTCGTGCTCCGGCCGCCGCCCCTTCCTTCCCGCTGCCAGGAGGACGCAAGGAGAACGACCTCCCCCGCGCGCTCGCGCGCGTGGGGCGACCGCGGCGGCTCCTTCCCGCAGCCCGCGAGTCTGAAGAGACACACAAAGGGGTCGGGGAAGGGGGAAGCGTTAAGGTTCCGGGCCGGCCCGAGGCTCCTGCTCCTCGGCCCCGCGTGGCACGGAGCCCCCCAGAGCGCGCCCACCGCCGCCGCCGGGCGAGTGCCTACCGCGTCCCCACCCAGCAAAGTTTGTCGGACGCACCTAGCCCGCGGGCGGGACCATCACCGCCCCTCGCGGGGAGGAGAGAGGGGCTGACCCCACCCCGCCGGCCCGCCCCATCCCCGCGGGGTCCGGCCCGCGCGACCCCGGCCACACCTCGCCACCTGTCGGCCCGCCGGTCCCTCGCGGGGCCGGGATCCCCGCCGCCTGCGCGTCCCCCCAATCCTTCCCGGCAAGGCACGGGAGCCACCCCCCCTCCCCAAGCCGGCTCACGGACGGGGGGCGGGGACCCAGCTGTCCTGCCTTGAGCCCCGGGAGGAGAGGGGTGCGTGAGGCGAGCGTGGGCAGCCCGGACGGGCCCCCTTACCTGGGCGGGAGTCTCGGGGAAGGCGGCGCGGGGCTGCGAGCCGAGGCCCAGGTGAGCCACCGGCGCCGTGCGCGCGCGCTCCGGACCCGTGTGCCAGGAGCCCAGGCAAACTCGGCGTCCCCAGGCAGTGCGAGGCTTGCAGGGAGCAAGCGAGCGAGCGAGCGAGCGAGAGGCGGGAGGGCAGCCGAGCGACGCCGAAGTGCGGGCGGAAAGGGCCGAGGCGGCCCGGGGGGCGCGGCGCGCGGGGCGGCCCGGGGAGAGCCGGCCGACGCTCCGCCCTCGCGCTCAGGTGCGCGGTGCCGCGGCCCGAGGTGGCGAGCTGGACGGCTGCGCCTGCACCCGGTGTCTCCCTCGGGCCGCTGCCCGGCGGCTCGGGCTCCGGGCTGGGAACGGGCTCCTCACGCCCCTCGCGGGCTCGCCTCGCCCGTCTCCCACCACCTACTTTTAAGTACAAGACCGTATTATTCGAGGGAAGGCCCTGGAGGCGGCTGGCTAAGCTGAGGGGGGAACAGTGCGATGGCCCGGGGATGATTCAGGGCCTGACTCGCCAGGATGGGGAAATACCCACGTGTCTCTTTGCCTTGTCACTGCCTGATTTTCAGATGTTTCAAGTTAGTGACTGGGAGAATCCAGGCAAACCAGGGAACTCATTAAAGAAAGAAAGAAAGAATCTTCTCTTGTAAATAGGGGGTTTCTTGTCTAGGTAATCGAAGTTTACTATTAGGCTTGCAGGAGAAAATACAAACTTTTTCGAGTGTTAATTGTGTGGGCGATCCCTATCTTATTTGGAATTTTCCTCGCTATCACTCCATCTGCTCTGTACTTAAAGTGAGTTTAGCACCAACGCTCCCTAGCGAAGTACAAAAGCTGTGGTAGTGCTGATTTGAGCTGGGCTGAATTTGACCATCTTTGACATGCCATTGGGGACATTTAGCCCTGTGAGGAAAGCCATCTGCAATTTCTCTCCGGATTGGGTGGGCTGCCCTTGATGCTGAGCATTCTGAATGCCAAGTCTCCATTTCGTGGGACAGCCCTGAGTCACTTGTTTTTTTTTTAACTTAACATACATCTTGCTTCCTACTTAGTGTTCCCGCTGTGCCCAGGTGACACATGGTGGGTGCGTAGGCAGTGTGTGCCTGTCAGCAATGAGGGCAGAAAAAAAACTGATCTATGCACTTCGTGTTCTGCAGAGGGAGAGACACATAGTTCTGGTTTTGGATCTGTTGAGGTGAGCACACGGGCAGCTGGAGGAAGATTTCATATGAAAAGAAAAAAAAAATGTTCCTTAGAAAAACACAAGCCTGACTTGGGAAAAAGTTGAAAGGGCCACGTGGCGCTTATCTTAACTGAACCACCTGGGCATGCCACCTGAAATTTCTCAATCACTCATTCATTGCTTTGGTGTCTGAGTTTAAGGGGAAGATTGCAAGATTGGGCATCAGACATGCACCTTAACAGGTTTTATTAGAGGATTTTTCTCTCGGAGGAGCTGCAAGATACAGTGGAAAATGATATACTGTAGTTAGCTTGGGTACAGACATGCTAAGTGAGCCATCTTGAAGATGTAATTTTTCTTCACTGCAGAATCTGCAAAAACAGCACCTATTTTTCAAATTGAAAACGGATCCTGGGCTGTGTTGCCGCGGGTTAAGCCCCCACCTGCCACGGCAGCTTCCCATGTGAGCAACAGGTAGTGTCCTGGCTACTGTACTGATCCAGCTCTGTGCAGAAGCACCAAGACAAGATGTCCCAGGCTCTCTTCCACTCCTGTGAGAAACCAATACAAAATTCCACTCTCCCTAGCCCCAACCGTCATGGCCATTTGGGGAGAGAACCAGCTGCTGGAAGATTCATTCTTTTCCTCCCGTCCTTCCTCTTCTCTATAACTCTGCCTTTCAAATAAATAAGGTAAAAAAAGAATTGACACTGCAAGTAAAGTGTGCTTGGCTCAAGAAAGGCGCTCAGTAAATAGTCCTGCTAACAGGGCAACACACGGTAGTTCTACACCTCTGAGAAGTGGGTTGAGAGAGGAGGCAAAAGATGACAATTCTATCATACACATCCAGAAAGGATGGAAGCTAGGAGAACACCTGGCCCATGTAATCTTGTCACTGCATCTCTTAGGTAAGTTCTCTCAACATCAATGCACTCTGAGCCAAGAATGTTGGCCGCTTTTGACTTGTGTGACTTTGGTCAAGTTGCTTCACTGTTGTGCCTCTGTTTACTTACACATAAAATAGGGATACTGACGCTTCCTGCATTGTGAGCATGTTGTGAAAGAGCCTGAGGTTCACAGATAAAAGGCAGTGGGTGACACCACAGTAGTTATTACTAATCTATAAAGTGCCCTAGGAACCAGGGATGAAAGAGATGATCGAGGTACAAAGTGCTGTGTTTTATTATTGTTAGCATTTATTATACCTTTTGTCTACCATTTTCAATATTCCCAGAGATATATTTCAAGGCCAGTCTGCTCCCAAAATTGCACCAAGATGTTTGAGTCAGTCGTGAATTGCAACATGTTTGCATAGCTTGCATATCGTCCATCTTTACATACAGAGTTCTGATGAAATAATCCTCCAAGACTTAGACCTTGGTTTCTCAACCTTAGGACTGTTGACATTTGGCACTGGAAAATTCTTTGTTTTAAGGGATGTCCTGTTCACTGTAGGATGCTTATCAGCATCCTTGGCTTCTCTGGTATATGCCACAAGTATCTCCCCACCCACCACCATTGTAGCATCACCAAAAATAATCTTAATGACCTATTTGATTTAGTAATAAAGGGAAATATGAAAATGCTCACAAAACAGATTCATTTTAATTTGTCAAGTGAAATGTGTCCTAAGTATCAATGTTACTCAATGTTTTGCAGACAGTGGATTAGCCACAGTGTGAAATGTCTGTTCACATATGTTGAAAGAATTAATAGTAGATTGGGAAATAGCAGTTTTGCCTTTCAATGCAAATACTTCTGGCACATATACAATTCACTCTCTGAAATCTAAATAATACATGTACACAGTATAAAAAGTTAAATGCTTTAGTTGTACAGTGATTATAATAAAAGACAACACTTTCTTATTCATCATCTCTGTTCCCAAAACCCTAAGCAGAACTTAGCATTCTTCAGCAGTCTGCTAGTATAGGCCTTCATGTTTACTTTGTATACTTTATTTTTTAACTTTATTGGAAAGGCAAAGAGACCAAAACAGAAGGACATATATCATCTCCAGGTGCCACAGCTCTTGTGGGGCCAGGGCAAAGTCAGAAACCCAGAACTCCATCTGGGTCCCAAAGTGGGTGCCCACATTCCACAGCCCTCATCTACTGCCTGTCCGAGTCCACGTTAGCAGGAAGCTGGATTGGAAGCTGTCTGTCTTCCTAGAACTCTCATGAAGGTAGATGTTCAGTTACAAGGAAAGTTCAGTTATTAGGCATTCTCTAATAAATTTCTTATCTTTTCTTTGCTGTTTTTCATCTCCTTGGCATAAACTCTTACTGAACCAATCTCCACTTTGAATTCCAGACATTCTCCTGGATTTTCAGTTTCTTGACTCCAATTTTTCCTCCCCTTAAGTCTTTTTCTTGTTCTGTAAATATTCCTTTTCCATGGCATCCTGTTCTTGTGTCATAGCATTTTTTGTTTAGTCTTGTTCTTTCATGTTAGAGCATGTCTTCGTTATCCTGCTCTTCATTCTGAAGAAACACGGATTGGCAGACCTGCGATGACACGGCAGACTGACCTGACTTAGGGAACTGGCTTTGCACCCAGGCATTTTGAGGGGACATGGGTCACGGGTCAGCATCTGTTGAGCTTCTCTTTGAGCCCTGTACATTTCCCTGAGGAAAAATGTTGGTCCTGCCAACTGTTTTCAGAGACAAGGTACTGGGAATAGCATTACCCAACATGGTGGTGTTCACTCAGTCCCTGGGCTCCATGTATATGCTGTTTCCTGAGTTTCTAACTCAACATCTGCAGCAACTTGGAAAGACAGTTTCCTTATTACTGTTCCCTGCAGAGAGAATCTGATTTTTAGGTTGATTTTCACCTAATTCCAGAGCTATATGCTGCAGCTTCTGGCTTTTTAATCTGGATTTTTACCTCCAGGGTACAAGGGATGACTTCTGATCGGCTTTGTCCCTGGCTGATGTAGTCAGACACCTGCCTCTGCTACATCTGTTTTTCAACTTTCATGTTCCAAAATTGTGTCCTTTCTTCTTCTTCTTTTTTTTTTTTTCTTAATGTATTTATTTGAAAGAGTTAGAGCTATTCCATCTGCTGGCTCACTTATGGCCTCCATGACCAGAGCTGAGCTGGAGCAAAGGCAGGAGCTTCACCTGAGTCTTCCAAGTAGATTCAGGATCCCAGGCACTTGGGCCATCTTCTGCTGCTTTCCAAGCTAGTTAGCAGGGAGCTTGATCAGGTTGCTGGTTTGTTTTATTTTTGCTTTAGTTTAGTTACTCGAGGGATTAAAGATAAACATGCATATTCAATCTATTAC